TGCACTCACAGCTCTCTCTCTAGCGGTCTAGTGTCTCTCTCTCTCTCTCTCTCTCTCTCTCTCTCTCTCTCTCTCTCTCTCTCTCTCATTAGAAAACTGAAACTTCTCTCCAACACATAAAAAGTCTTAGAAAGGTTATAGGTCAGGAATGGCTAAGGAGAAATCACAATAAAAATTTTCAAAAACAAATGGAAAAAATATAGAACAGAATATCTTGTCTTCACAAATGCTCCATCTCAGACCTCATTTGAAAACTAAGATTTATAATCTAAGACATTTCATACAGAAACCAAGCCGAATCATAGTACGTACTTAACATAGTGGTTTTCTATAATACTTGTTTCATGACATGCTCTTTCACTCTGTATTCTTAATCTGAAGCTAGTTATTTGAAAAGAAAATATAAGAATGTATCAGACAAGGAAATGTTCCCTGTCCCCTCTTAGGTGTAACCATAAAGACGGAGATGGTTCGCACTTGACCTTCACTGCTCTCCCAGCATCTAAAACAGTGAGCCATACAGGGCTTGCCCAAAACATATCTATTGAACAAATTTAAAATTGGAATAGTAGTTTTCATCTTAACATTAATTTAATGATGTAAAATCCATTATTATAAGAAAGTTAACAAAAGAGAGATGAAATAAATTTGGATAAATGTCTTTGCTCAAAAGAATAAACTAATAATAGTCACAAATAAAATTGAATATTTGAGAAAATCATTGTATAAGATTAAAATTCTTTAAATGTTTTAGGTTAAAGAAAGAAGATCACTGGAGATTATGAGACTTACTTTTGAAATACACACACACACAAAAAAATTTTTTTGAAGCCACATTCTTGCCTTTGGTTGATTCTGGTTCTCCTGATATCTCATTATTAGAAAGTAACCTGTCAATCACCCCTGTCATAGAAAGACATTCATGAGTGGAGCACAGGTGTAGTTAGGGAAACCTCTGCAGGTCATGGCACCCTAGAGTGACAAAAGCCAAATTACAGTTTATACATTACATATTCTGACATACATAAGTCAAAAATTCAAGAGAAAAACAGCATTCATATGTCTATAAAATAATTTTATATGGGATCAATAGAAGTAGAGAAACAGATCACAGAAAAACCAGGACATCTGGTTGGACAGCTGTTTTGCTCTTCAGTGCAATGGGGAAAAGACAGAGGTTAACAAGTCCCTGAGTACCAGGAAATGAATGTTTAAGATATATGCACTAAGATTATCTGCTAAGGAGATAGAAAGTCAAAGTTTAAGATGCATTTTAAAAATGGCTAGACAGAATTTTTTAGGAACACAGAGAACATGGATAATAATACATGTATGTGATTTTCTTATTAAGATTCTGATCTAACCGAAAAACTGTCCCTGAAGCTCCCACCAACAGTAGTGAAAGATTCAGCCAGAGCCTACTTCTCTGTTTTGGGTGAGTCATTCCACCCTGGAGGACTTAGGGCAATAGTGACAGCTACTGTTTGCCCCCTCCCTGGGGTTCCAAATGGGCCTTTTCACTGCACTTGAGTTCTTTAATCCATTTCTTCTTTCTCTATTTTCTCAGTATCCACTAGGTTCCCAGCACACCAGATGCTTAAAATTCTTTTCACATCTTTTAGAAGTGTGCTTGTGTGTAAATGTTATTTGATTCATCACGATAATGTCTGTTCTAATGTCTCATCTCTGTTTTCCAGGTGATATCTTAGGTTCAGCTATTAAAAACATACAGAATCTTCTGCACATGCCCTATGGCTGTGGAGAGCAGAACATGGTCCTTTTTGCTCCTAACATCTATGTACTGAAATACCTGAATGAAACCCAACAGCTGACTGAGAAGATCAAGTCCAAGGCCATTGGCTATCTCAATGCTGGTTAGTGAGACTCAGAAACTTCACATTGGTTATTGTAAATGTTCTCTCCCGACGTGGGCTTAACAGGCAAGGGGAAAGCAGGGTAGTGTTCTCAGGTCATCCCACAAGCAGGAGAAGCCCAGGCACATCAGGGGCAGGTCTGGCTTCTCTGGCAGCCTTCACATCCTGTTGTTCTCTGATGCATCACTGATTCTTCACAATCAACTGAAACCTTCCATTCCAGGTTATCAGAGAGAGCTGAACTACAAACACCAGGATGGCTCATACAGTGCCTTTGGGGATAAAGATGGCAAGAGTCAAGGAAACACATGGTAAGAATAGAGCATCATGCGACACGCTTCTAACAACCCTGTTCTTCATGGCTTCTACATAAACCAGATATTATTCACCTCCTTTCATAGAACATAAACTGAGAACTAGGGCTGCAAATTCCATGTCTTGAGGTGGTATAAATGATAATTCGAAGAACGGAAATTGTCTCAGTTCTGAAATTGCTCTGATTCTCAAATACAGCTGTGATTCAGTACAGTAAGATGAAATTTCTTACTTCATTCTAAGATTCCTCATAATTTGGAAAAGTACCAGCTACATGTTGTCAGATATCCAAAGATGGTCTTAATTGAAAGCTGAGAATCTGTAGCCATTCTTTATATGACCTTGTATTACATAACAATTAAGATCTAATGTACTTGTAAACAAAATAATAAAAGTAAAAAGAGTATTGAAAGGAGCAGCAAATAAAGTAAGATAAGACAACAGAATTTAAAGGGTTTTGGGGGGCAGAAAACATAAAACAGGAATTGTAGAAGAGAAGGTTAATCTCATTTACCAAAGATAATCATTGAAAGGGGAAAACGGTAGAATTAGATTGCAAATGTCATTGTCAACCAACCGAGTCAGCAAGGTGAAGCAATCTCTGAGAAATAAGACAGTAAACCACATACAACCAGATACTTATGGTAGTGTATTAACAGCTGGGAAGGCTTGAAGAAACAGAGGGTTTCTATGTAGCAGCAAAGACATTCCCCAGCTGTACCCACTCAGAAACCGCTATACCCGTAACTCATCAGTGTGGAGAGGCCATGAAGCCTGTGCAGTGTCAGAACAGATGCCTTCATCTCCCACTCTTCGCCCCCATCAGGCTTACAGCCTTTGTGCTCAAGTCTTTTGCCCAAGCTCAAGCCTTCATCTTCATCGATGAAACACACGTCACTCATGCCCTCGCCTGGCTCTCCAATCAGCAGAAAGTCAATGGCTGCTTCAGGAGCTCCGGATCTCTGTTCAACAATGCCATGAAGGTGATCTCTCTTCTGAACTGATTATTAGGATGATGTAACAATCCATGACAGCTTTTCTAAGGATGAGATACTTTAGAAACACAAGGGAATGCCTAAAGAAATGGACCGGGAAGTAATGAAGAGCAAGTGGTAGGATAGTAAGTCCTCCTCCTAATGGGGAGGAAGATATTTCTTCCCCTAGTTTGAGAACAATACCTCTTGCACTGGGGATGGGTTGACAACTTATAAAGGGCAACTGAACAGAAAGCCTTGGCCATGAAAGCATGATTTTGGAGGACTTCCTGTGGTGCAGATCATCTCTTTCCCTCTTAATCTTGTAGGGTGGAGTAGAGGATGATGTGACCCTGTCTGCTTATATCACCATCGCCCTTCTGGAAATTCCACTTCCTGTCACAGTAGGTGCCACTTTGCTTCTCCAGGTTCCCAAGCTACTGTGATCCCACTGACCTGTAGCCATTTCACTTCTCTAAAGGCCAAAATGACAGCTTTGCTTTTGCAAAAAATTACGCATTTATCAGATTCTATCAAAAAGAGTGCAATAGTTCAATAAAACCCTGGATGTGTCCCCCAAAGAATTCCAAACACGTGTCTTCCAATAGTGTCTGTATAATTTTACATTTTAAATAAGGAGCCCTTTCTGAAAAAGTGATTTTTAAAAGACAGTCAAAGAAATGGATACAGATACATGTATATATGCATGCATGCATACATGTGTACTACATCGATGCATGGATTACAGATGAATTCATTATTCATTTTATATAAATTCATTATAGATAAATTCATAAAAGCACAGATCTCAGCTCTTACTGTCCCTACATTTACTCCAGGGCCTGCCGGGCCCCTTTTCTCGTTTCTCAGGGAATCTCTGTTCTGCCTTCACAGCATCCTGTTGTCCACAATGCCCTGACCTGCCTGGAGTCAGTCTGGGAGTTGGCACAGCAGGGGCCTCATGGCAGCCATGTCTACACCAAAGCGCTGTTGGCCTATGCTTTTGCTCTGGCAGGGAACCAAAAGAAAAGAAATGAAATACTGAGATCCCTTGATGAGGCAGCGGTGAAGGACGGTGAGAGTGTGTGCGATGGTTTTTCTCTCCACTCAGTTCCCCAGATAGAAACAGGGAAGTATACAGACCTTAGCAAAACAACGTCTCTCTCAGTTCTGTCCCCTGTGAAATGCTGAGACTTCTATGCAGCTTTACCCAGGAGACTGGTGCTTGTTTTACACTCAGAAATATGTTGTCAACTGGGAACAAAATCAATAAATGTAATATAGGAAAATCAGAGCATTTCAAACTTCTTTTATTGTTTTTACATACAGAAATTCTTTGTTTTTTGACATCTTAGTACCCATGTGCATAGATGTATTATAACTGATCTAGTCTGTACCTTACTGATGTACACACAAGTCTTTTCTGTCTTTTGCTTTCATAAATAGTACTGTAATGCAATGTACATCCATCCTTTCTGTGAACCTGTGAGAAGGTAGGGCAGTGCGTTTCTAGATCTGAGGATAAAGGGCGATAGCTCTGGCAGACATTGCCAGATTTTCCTCCACAAGAGAATGCTGTGTTTGCGTTCCTCTGAATAGTGTGTGCTGTGCCTTTTCCTCTTGTTGAAAAGGTTTGGAGATGATCTAATAGTTGAGAAGCAGAATCTCAGTGTAGTCTTAATATGCTTTTATCTTATTATGGGCCAGGTGTGTCATCTCAGGCAGTTAGAAGACTCTTGTTTCATAATGCACTTTTCTGTAAACCATATACTCACTCATTTCTATAGCTCATTTTCCCATAGAGTTTTTGGAATATTTCTATATTATAAATTTTTTTGATAATTTTATATATGAGTATTGTCTGCATTATTTCCATCCCTCCCAATTCCCCACCAACTCCTCCCACACTTCCCCACTGCCTCTCAATGTCTTGTTCTCTTCTTTGATTATTATTGTTACATATATGCATGCCTTTATAAATATACATATATAAATACACATATATTATGCCCTGATTCCATTTAGTGATGTGTGTATGTACCTGTGTTTAGGACTGTCCATTTGGGATTGTGTAAACTTTCAGGGAGCTGGTTGGTCCCTGGACCAGATTTCTTTTATGAAGACAAATGTAGTTAATGTGTATACTTGTATTTTAAATAGACATACACCTATCAGGATAAGTAAGTGCTACCAGGAGTTATGGGAAAGAAACTCCTGTCCATGACAGCTTCCATGTTTTTCTATTTTTTGATGACTCTAAAAACATTTATATATCATTTTAACTAAGTAATGAACAAGCAACCTTAGGTTAGATGTGAAGGATTAACCAACGAAGAAATCTTAGCAGCCATTTTTTCTAGACTAAATCTGCTAGAACACCATTTGAGAAATTAGTTCACTTGACAGCTTATTAATTCTTGTGCTCAGTGTTTTCCTCAACCTCACTAGTTCATATCAAGGGTGAATTTTCATTCTGGATTAATAAATCCTGGGGTGTAATGAATGAAATTTTTAAAATCTTATACTACTTTTTTCCCCAAATATTGACATATAATAATAATTCTTTTAATTCCTTCTTTACTTTTTACCCTTAAGGCAACTTTGTTCATTGGGAAAGACCTCGGAAACCCAGCACACTAGCAGGACAGTTGTATGAACCCCAGGCTCCCTCTGCTGAGGTGGAGATGGCGGCCTACGTGCTCCTCTCTCACCTCACCACCCAGCCAGCCCCAACCCTAGAGGACCTGACTGCCATGGTCCCCATTGTGAAGTGGATCACAAAACAGCAGAATTCCCACGGTGGCTTCTCCTCCACCCAGGTCAGTGATTCTCCTTCAGAGCCTGGGTGCAGTTTAGGGATTTGAACAAGAGATATAGGAGCAGTAACAAGACGAAGGTGGATGAGGGCATATAAACAAGGAAACATTACTCCCGAGTTTTCTGAGTCTATAGGCAATGTAGAAATAATAGCACTTTCCATGTTCACTTGTCCTGGTCTGAGCTCAGGTCCTAGACTTCTCTTTATACCATGCTTGGTGAAGTAGGACTGCATTATTAGCCAGGAACCAAGCCTGGATACAGCAACAATGGCAAAAATTTTGGAATGTCCAAAATCCTAGACGTCATCTCGCAAGCTGAACTAGCACAGTGAACTAAGAAATTGTGTGTGAGCCAAGATGACATCTTCAGCTTCCTGCTGCCCTCAGTACAGCCGATTTCCCTCTTCTGCTGACAGAGTCTTCTGACCTTATTTATACATAGATAATCCTTGAACTTCCCCAAACTTGTAGAAACTCACACTTCCTTTCTGAATCTCTCAACATTTGGGATCACCCATGACTGTGAACCATCCATTCAATCAATGGAACTTTTACTATATCAAGTAATGTTTAAAAATTGTGTGTGAACAGAAACCCACACTGGCCAATGCACAGAGCTCTAGAAGTTGCAGAGTGTTCATCCCTGAATAGGGCACGTATTTCAAACCTCTGCCTCTGAAGGGTCAGGGATCATTATGGAAGAGAGGACAGAAAGAGTGTTAAGAGCTGGAGGTGGTGAATGACCACAAAGAAACAGTTTTCCAGACAGGTGGTCAGTTACTCATAAGAACTAATAGTAAAGGTGACAGCATGAGCGAGTCTGATGCAAGCTCAAGCCAGGCAGAATCCCATCATTGACATGGGGAGGTGGGTAACAAACCCGAACCCAACCTAAGGAAATTTTGGCAACCAATGGCTGCTGGAAAAGGGAGAGACAAGCTCAAGGATGGGATTCTTGGTAGATTAATCAGGATCCAGTGTATGGATTCACATCACTTAAGGACATCTGGGCACATAAATTAGACTCACAAGACTTATATATATATTAGAAGTTGAAGAAAAAAGTAAATTCTGGTAGATAACCTAATTCACAGTTATAAGTTTTGCCTGCTATGAAACAGAATTTCCTATAATATGATAACGGAAATTGTGTGAACATTTTGATTCTCAGAATATACTAAATAAAAATCTTTGAATTAAAGTACAATGATCAAACAATTGGAGGCAGAAACCTCATGACAGCTTTGAAATGACTAGTGTAGACTCCAGGAAGAACCCAAACCCCTCCTGACTGAAGCCGTCCTGACCTTTCACATCCCCCAGGACACCGTGGTGGCTCTCCACGCTTTGTCCAGATATGAAGCAGCCACTTTTGCTGGACATCATAAACCTTCTTCACTGACCATTCAGTCTTCAGGGACGTTTTCCAGAAACTTCCAAGTGGAGAATAGTAATCGACTGTTACTACAGCAGGTCCCATTGCCAGACATTCCTGGGGAGTATGACATAAACTTGTCAGGGGAAGGATGTGCATATTTTCAGGTAAGACTCTGGGGGAGTTGTGGATATGCAGAAGATCTCCCTTCGCCCACCTGTATGTGTAACACTCCAACTGGGAGAAATGGGGTGGAGTCAGGGTGAATGGTGCCATATGATGGATGCCAGCTATGTTCACTGATTTAACAGGCTACACTGAAATACAATGTGTACTTGGAGAAGCAAGAGTCTGCATTCACTCTACAGGTACAGACAGTACCACAGACTTGTGATGGCCCCAAAGCCCACACCAGCTTCCAGGTCTCCTTAGAAGTCAGGTGAGAATATTTTTTTGTTACCTAGCTGTGAAAATATTGCCTAACTAGATCTCTTCATAGAGTAATCTCAACATCAAGCAAGTCTTTTTATTCAGATATTTTGTTTTGTATATAAAACACTGTTATCAAAGTGAACAATGGAGCTATAAGCTCTGATAATCCACTTTCAAATTCTTTTCTCACCACTGCCATACTGGAGGGATAGATGATTCTTTTCAATACTTGAGCATTGGGTTCAGTTTTATTTACCTCCAAGTTAGGGATTCCTGGTTTTTGAAAATTCTCATTTCTAAAGGAAAAAGCATACTCAATACAAAGACACTCTTCAAAAGGTCAAGGAACATATGATCAGGGGCCAGAGTGATGACTCAGCAGGCCAAGGCAATTGCTGCTGAGCTTGATGACCTGAGTAAGATTCCCAGGAGAGATATAGTGGAAGGAGAAAACCAACATTGACTCAAGAATGTTGTCATCTGACCAGGACACATACACCATGGCACACAAGTGTCCACACACACACACACACACACACACACACACACACACACACACACACACACACACACACACACACACACACACACATACACACAAAAAATAAAATGAAGTTAAAATTTAAAAATATGTACTCAACAACTAGTCTGAGGTGATCTTGGATTAAAGGAGAAAATACACAGTGTGATCTGTCAACTGTATCTATTAGTGTGTTTCATATACTTTTACGGAAAATTATATTCTAGCAGCCACAAAGAATGCAAGCATAGATGTCAAGTAATTCCAGAAACGATCGCGGTCTAATTGTGAAATGACTGTGTTGAGAAAGATCATTTTCCAACCAAAATGTGTAAGTTACAAAGAAGTTGCACATGCTAGAGGTTGTATAATCTGCATTGCGTTCTCTGTAGACCTTGATCTGAAATAAAGTCTCCAGGTTCACACTCAAAAACTGAATTATTTCTCCACTGCGCTTGGAATCTATGCTTCTGACGCACTCCACCTGATAGTGTTATGTAGTCAATTTTCAAAACTAGTTATATTGACAGTAAATGTCACTTGTTTCCTTGGATGGAAAGATCACAGAGGACAGTGCAGTGTTAGGAAAGGTGGCTGAGCACATGAGGGGTCATTGCTGGACCTCAAAGGGGGCAAGATTCAAAGTATTAAAATGTCCCCATCCATCCACTTCTTTTACCTGTAGCTACACGGGGAGCCGTCCAGTCTCCAACATGGTGATTGTTGATGTAAAGATGGTATCTGGTTTTATTCCACTAAAACCCACAGTGAAAAAGGTAAGTAAATACTAGATAGTAGATTTTCTGTGTCCTCAGATTCAGACCATACCAACAGCATCTTAATAGTGTCAACCCATATCAAAGTCACTCAGTTACTAATCTGATGAATTTGAATTAAATCATACCATGTGTAGTTTAGAATTGTGCTAGGAGCCAATACAAGAAATACAAGAAATGTGCTGGAATTAATTGACCTACATTCTTCTTGAGAATAGTTTTTAAAGTGTAATGGACCCTGTGAACAAATATTTCAGGGGAGAACATAATTAAATACCAAAATTGCAAGTATAGACTTTTAAAGAAGAAACTTAAAATGGTAAGGCAAATACCATAATAAAAAGGAAGATATTTGCATAGATGATATATAGGTACTATAAAATCGAAGCTGCTTTTACCTTCAAATGAAAGTCAAAAATGCCTTTTACTGATGCGTAGTGATAATCAACCTTGTATCTAATATCATGATATTCACAGTGTTCTGAATCTGCTCTCGTTACTGACGTTGACCTTTTAAATTTGATTAAATTAATTGATTTAATCACACATTTTAATATCCTCTACGACCCCACACTCCACTTGTCTCTCTCTCCCCCCTAAGGACTTCCCTTTCTCAGTAACAGGTGTTTTCTCCCATTTACCTCAGCTTGAAAGATCAAGCCATGTGAGCAGAACAGAAGTGAGCAGCAACAACATCTTGATTTACCTGGATCAGGTGAGAGCCCTGCCGGCTTTGCAAGACATACCTAGGTAGACAGTCCTTCTGCAGAGGTCTACATAGAATACACAGCGTAGGAGAAAAGAAGTTCTAAAGAATGTCTTTTTGGAGAAGCACGTTGACAGAGGATGGACAGAGTCATATGTTGGACATTAAATTATATTATAATTATTGGAATTTTACAATAGATCGGTTTGTTTCCCATCTGTTCTCAGAAGCCTCTACTCTATTCCTCGGGTCCCTGCTCTAAACTCCCTATCACCATATGTGTGAGTGAAGTGACTGTGAGACTGTTACCCACCAGCTAAGAATGTCCCTCAAAGAATGAAGACGAGCCGAGCCAAACAAGAAGAGCAGCAGCCTGCCTGGTCCTAGGTCACCATTCTCTGTTTCTAGGTTACCAACCAGACACTGAACTTCTCCTTCACCGTTCAACAAGACATCCCTGTAAGAAACCTGCAACCAGCTCTAGTGAAAGTCTATGACTACTACGAGACAGGTGAGCAAGGGAAGAAAAAGGACGTGAATCACTTCATTTCTCAATGCATGAGTTAGAGTGGGACCAACATTTGCAAGTCATGGTTCTGGTTTATCCTGCCAGGATGTCTCCTTCCTGTCTCTGTGGCCTACAGAACTGCAAAGCTGCCATGAACAATAGCCAAGTAATCATACTTTCTATTCCAAGGGAACAAGAGTGTTACCAGGGAATGTTTATAGGAACCGGAGAGATTGCTCAGTGGTTAAGAGTATGTACTGCTCTGCAGAAGACCCAAGTTCAGTTCCCAGCACCCACGATGGATGATTCCCTAACCTAAGTCCCTCTTCAGGGCATCCAGTACCCCTGGGTTCTGCAGGCACCAGCACTTATGTGCACATACTTACACGCAGGCATACATAAATAAAAAATAGAAATAAATCTTTTTAACAAAGAAGTGATTGTAGGTAAATAAATGCATAAATCTGTTTCTAGATATTCCAAAGCAGAACTTAAACAATTATATGGTTAATTATAGTAGGATTAAAAACTGATAGAAAATTAAAGACTGAGTGGTCTCTGGTGATCAAAAAAGAAAATAAATCTGGAGTTGGAGGATTGCCTGTGATATTATTCTGACTAGTGATGAGACTCTTCAGACTAGAAGTACAAGAAATATTTCAGGAAAAGGAGCAAATATGGAAAGAGATCAGAAAGGCCACACATCCTTCATCAATATCAATCCCTACTAGTATTTTTCTTGAACACCTAGAATGAGCAGACCATTGTGTGCCACAGTAAAGGATTCTATCAGTGGGTCAAGAGGAGGCACTCCTGGACTCTGAATCTCGAATTCTCCAGATAGCTGACTTTTCAGCAATCATGCAGGTCCTGATTGAGGAAAGTTGTCAGTTTTAATGCATCAAAGTCTCTCCACAAAACCCTGATCCATAGAAATTCCAGTTCTCAGATTTTTCTTCCTGTCTTTCAGACGAAGCAGCTTTTGCTGAATACAGCGCCCCCTGCAGCACAGGTGAGCAACTAGAACTTTACTCCAAGCCTTCTGGCCTTCAAAACTCCTCCTCCAAACTCAAAGTCCTCAGCTCCATTGCCTGGTCTCACGCTCCTCTTAAGTGCGTGATAACAGCAATGAACATCTCAGGGTCAGAGCGGTAACTCTGGATAATTCCCTCAACAGAGTCCGTGGTTTAGGGTAGACGTCTGGTGGATCCCACACTCCACCACAGCCAGTTTGGTTTCCTGTAGCAAACCCTGTTCTCTACACCCAGTTAGAATTATACCCATTCTGTGGCCAGCTCTAAACCATCCTCTATGTTTTCCTCTTCTCTCCACAGACCCAGCACGAGACAATTTTTGACACTTATATCTGAGAACATGAAACCTCAAATCTCCAAACCCAGAAACTTTAGGAGGATTATTTTGTCTCTAAAATACAGATAATAAACAACCATAGTAAATAAATACTTTTTTCATTGAGTATTTATGATTGAATCCTTTCTTGATGCAAATTGACTCCATGTTTACTTTGAATCTTGAACTGTCCCCTGTATTTGTGAAGAGTTAACAACACACACTCTTAAATTTGCAACAAATAGCAACAGACTCAATATTACATAGTATCAGAAAACACAAAGAGATGAAATGGCACTCTGAGAAATATTTACCTCTCCCTAAACTTAAAGTGAGTAGCAGCAATATCATTCTAATACACATAGGCATGGGAATACTTGTTGCTAGAGCAGGATAACTAGTTGTTAATGCTGTATAAAAATAAATGCCAGACTGGACAGCAGTTCCACAGTACCTACTGGGGAAGATCAGTCAGCCAATTATGAAGTTCTGTTGTTCAAACCAAATAATATTATGGCAACCTGAGTGTGTTACGTATTAGTTGTCTTGACTTCTAGTTCAAATTCTGCAACTAACCACTTGAATGACTTTGGGTCAGTCAAGTAACCCCTGCATATTGAGTCATGTGTGTGAGAAAGTCTTAACTTGTGGAGAAAGTATAAATAAGTATAGAGCAAAGCTTCATAGGATGCGAGAACATATAGAAATATGACAGCAGGTAGAAGGATCAATTAGATCTTTGCATGAAAAGCTATACTGTCCACCCTCTACTAGGTGCTGTTCTGTGTGTTTTATTGAAATTATGTAAGTCCATGCTTATAATCTAGGTATGATCATAGTGTCCCACGTAGCTGCGGTTGTCAGCTTGGAACATCCCAGAGTCACCTGGGAAGGGGAAACTTAATTGAGGAATTTCATTAGTTGCATTAGCCAGTGGGATGACTATGGGCATTGTCGTGATGGATGACTGGTGAGGGAGGGCTCAGCCCACTGTGGCAGCACCATCCAGAGGCAGGTAAGCCTGGGCCATATAAGAAAGTTATCTAAACATGGACCTTGAGTAATCCAGTGGACAAGCCAGCAAGTAGTGTTCCTCCAAGATTTCCAAAGAGATGTTGCCCCAAGCCCTATCAGGTGACAGAGGCAAGATCACAACCTGCCATTCTGGCTTGAGTTTCCAGCCTTTGTTGCTTTCCCGTTTTACTATTAAGGAAAAGAAAGTTGTCTTTTCTTTAAGAAAGGGAGTGGTAGTAGAGATTGGATGTAGAAACAGAGATGTGTTTGAAATAAAAGAAATGAATTTGGGAGAGAGGAAATTATTAAAATGGACCGTAAGGAAAACAGGGATCTGAAATCCTTAGTGAGCTCATGTGCAGAACTCCTGGGGTTGTGATGGACGGATTGAACTTGTCTGCTGTGAGATCCTGGGGTTATCATGGAGGGACTGAACCTGTCTACTGTGAGATCCTGGGGTTATCATGGAAGGACTGAACCTGTCTGCTGTGAGATCCTGGGGTTATCATGGAGGGATTGAACCTGTCTGCTGTGAGATCCTGGGGTTATCATGGAGGGACTGAACCTGTCTGCTGTGAGATCCTGGGGTTATCATGGAAGGACTGAACCTCTCTACTATGAGATCCTGGGGTTGTGATGGAGGGATTAAACCTGTCTGCTGTGAGATCCTGGGGTTGTGATGGAGGGATTAAACCTGTCTGCAGTGAGAGCTCTGGGGTTATCATGGAGGGACTGAACCTGTCTGCTGTGAGATCCTGAGGTTGTCATGGAGGAATTAAACCTGTATGCTGTGAGATCCTGGGGTTGTGATGGAGGGACTGAACCTGTCTGCTGTGAGGTCCCTGGGGTTAATGACCATGAGCAGAACTGCTCAGCTGATAAGAATCTTATCCCCAAGTCCGATTAGACTAAGGGAGAATATGCTTAACAGCTTCACATTAATGTAACAACAAAAAAAAAAACAGGATAATCGAGGTAAGAAGAAGATGGGTTTGTTTTGGCTCTAAATTTTCAAGCTTTCATTCCATTGTTAGTTGGCCTGTAGTGAGGAATCACATCTGTGTTAGTATGTGGTGCACGAGGCTGTTCTGTGCACGGCCTGGATGAAAAAGATACACAAGAGGAATGACATAACACAGTCCTCTTCATGAGCACATTCTCAAAGACCTAACCTGGACCAAGTAGAGCCCACTCCTCAATACCTCCACTTCCTACCAACATGGACTGGGGAAGTGTTCCTTTAACACCTGGTCTTTTGGAAGTGATTCAGGGTCTAGAACACAGCAGATGAGAAAAGGTAAGTCACTCAAAATCTCCTGCTCAGAGTCTCTTTACACCAAGATTAAGGTGGCTTGTTTCCTCTCTTTCTGTAGTACAAAGCAAAAAGAACCCCCTTGGTAGAAGTGTTGGTGGATGTATGATTGATAATATCAAGGTTTCTGAGGGTCCTCTAAATGATTCATTATCCTGTCCTTAATAAAAGGGTTAAGAAATTCCATCCAAGAGCAGGATCTGGCTCTTAGGCAGAACTGAGGACAGAGTTGTAGGAAACAAGAGTTTGTACCAATATGACATAAGTAAAAGAGTTACTCTCCACCGACATAGAAGGGCTATAACACTAAGACTAGGATCGACCCTCTCATCTTATGGGTTACAGTTTATATTTGAGTGGAGCTATATGGGGGAAAGTGGAAGAGTTTCTGCAAGGCTGGCAGGAGGTTTCAGGAAACCAACTGCCTGGTGGTTTTAGAAATGTTAGTAAAAGAGAGGGGTCTGCTATTTTCATTTCAGGACATGGTTGTCTGTTGTCTGTGTTTGTTCCTCATCTCCTTCTTGTAAGTTCTTAGTTGAGCAAGCCGTGGGCCAGATGTCACTGAATGGTCACAATATTTCTCCATCCAGCTAGAACGCAAAGAAAACAGGGTTACTACAAGAGGGAAGCTTTTTTATTCAAGAGATGTTTTGCATTGGAACTTTCAATCTCTTTTCTTGACTTTTTGGAAATTAATCTTAATTGGGGAATAAGGCCAAAGATCCATTTTTATAGCTTCTTTGAGGAGGGGGTTAATATTAGACAGAGTCAAATATGTTAGTATTAGACTGTTTGTTAGTAAGAATCTTAGGTTTCAAATGTTTTATCTTGTGAAATAAAGAGGATATTTGAAGGAGTTAAGGCCTGAGGTTAGGACAAGGAGCAAGACAGATATGAGATTTTAAAAGGTTAGCAAAAAGAATCAAGGACAAACATCAATTTGCCAAGTAAACCAGTCAGAGCCCCAGTTTTTTATGATTTTCTGTTATTGTTGGTCTTTTTGATGATGTAATCAAGACCATTAAGGAATTGTTCACAGTCGTAACATAAAAACAGTGCTGTCTTATAACTTATTAGACACACACACACACACACACACACACACACATACACACACACACACTTTGATTGGCATTTAGCAAATCTAGATGTAATTTGTTTTGGATTACCATCTTTACCAGAGAGTTAACTTGTCCCTGGGAGGATTTCACTGATATGGCTGCATCAATGATTTATTTACTTAGAATGACAATTCTCCAATACCTACTGGGGAATTAATTAGTCCTCCAGTGCCTTATTTCTGTCAAGATTATCAGCAGAACAATGAGACCAGTTTTGAATATCTCATATGCATCACAGATCCCTACACAGGGGTGTTGGAAAGGGACAAGGGCAGGGGTGTTGAAAATTAAGTTTGATACTGTATAGACAACTTAGCACATATCCATCCAAATAGGTGGAAAGCACAAGAAGACTTGGTCTCCACAGAGAAAACAGGCATTGTTTCTGAGAGTCAGGCAGGTGGATAGAAATATGTCCATAATCCTTTCCAATTTTGTGCTACTATAGTCAAAGGCCTCACATGGGACATTTACCAAAGGGGTTGAATCAGGCCAAGTTTGAAGGGGGGATTGTAACCCGCCAGATAAGGGGGTTACATATACCAACTCATCCCAAGAAAGACCTGTCCATGGCTGACTAGGAGCACCTTGATTGAATTATTAGCAATGTTGATTGAATTATTAGCAAAGAAAAGGGAATTAATGATACAAGACCTTGGGCTCGGGACAAATAGTGGTAACAGAGAAGCTTTGTTGTTATCATGAGGGTGGGAGGTAGATTGCCAGTTTCGGTGATATCTCCCGATACACTGAGGAACCATATGACACAGAAGAAGAGATGCATTTAGGATTCCCGAACAGAATAAGAAAGAGAATGGAGTTCCAGTGTTCAAATGTAACAGACCCCGGTCAGAAGCCTCTGGGGGCCTAGAGTTAGTGAAAAGGCAAAGTGACTGAGGAAAGCAGGGTCGGTGTGGTTTAGAGGAAATGGGGGGATCTGTAGATAAATGCACAAGAAGAAGACATTGAACCAGAGTACAGACATAATATAGACCTCAATTTGAGCTGGAGAAATGGTCCCCCCCACTTTCGGAAGTATGCAAGCTCCCATGCACTGATCTAAGATCACATATTCATATGTGAAATTACCAGACAAATTTCTTTTTTAAAATTTTGACTCCTATAGAGAGAAGTCAATGAATCCAAAACAGGGATATTTTAAAACATCAGATTCAGGGAAAGATGTTCCTAAGTGATGATTAAACTTTTATCGAGTGTAATATTGAAAACCTCTTTGGAAGCTCTTAGCCCAAGACAGAGACATAACAACCTTGATGGCCTGCTCAGAAGCAGGCTATCGAGGGCCTGTGTTGAAACGGCAAACTGAAGGCCTCTGACAGTTGAGTCAGATTTTTCAAGTTTTCTCAGACATCTGAGGAGTGTGCTTTTTGGAGAGTATTTTGAGATCACCTGTTGGATCACTGATTACTGAGAACAACGTTGAGTCTTAATCCACAGGAGGAGTTGGTGTGAGTTTGGAGAGATAGATACATGGTGGGAGTCCTAAAATCTAGCTATCATGGAGGTAGTAAAGATCCTTTCCAGGATGGTTGGTAAGGAGGAGTCTTACCTGGTAAGTCCTTTAAGAAGACCCTGTCTCCAGGCTAGATTTTAGAGTCAAGTGAGGAATATTGGGAGGTTGCTAGAAGCTCATCAGCATATACAATGAGTTTTGCATGATT